TGTATTCCTACCGACGGGAGGGCTCGGTCTGTTTAAATGCCACGCTGCAGTGTCTAGAGCACTGTCTACTGAGCACAACAAATCAGCGGCTTATCATTAGAGTCGTCTACGCTACAGCTTATCAGCGGTTACTCACCAAAAGGCCGAAATTTTTTGAGAAATTTTGGAAATTTTAGGGAGTTTGTGGAGAATTTTAGACATTTCTAAACGAATTTTAGACCTTTATTCGAGAATTTCCGGAAAGAATTTTAGGCCATATTTTGGGAATTATTTAGCTAAGCCTAGCCCACCTTAATCGAATATTTTTCAAATCACTCTCCAATGTTGATTTATTTACCCGAAGGATTTGCGAATTTTTGTAGACGATTAAGACCAGGTATTTTGGGATTCAAAGAGGTCAAAATCTCCGGTCCGGGCTTAAAGGAGCAATTGCAAATTCAAAATATATAGCGGACAACAACCTTCTGCTTTCACTGTTTGCTGGCACTTTTTTCCAGTCTTGCTGCTTGCATTGAAATCAAAATTTCGACTTTTACCACAACAAGAAGACATTTTAGGAGTAAGCTAAATCTCATCCAAATTTTGAAACGAGGAAGTATAAAAGGGCTTCGTTCTCAACCTCGTGCATGACGATTCTGGGTTCATCCAGGGCTTACAAGTGCGTGGGGAGACAACGTCCGGACCGGCCTGGCCATCGGAGAAGATTGGAAAGAAAACTAATACTTAACAAATGAAAATTGCCTAGCGTATTTGTGTGGATGGGTGAATCCAAACCGCGGAAACAACCACACTGAATTCATGTGGACGAAAACATTAGTGTGCGGTTTCAGCCTACCCTGGCACAAAATATTTGCTCTTTTCCTAAACCTTTTGCCTCAAGCGACTTTAAAAATAGCTGGAATTTCTATGTTGAGGTAATTTTTTTCGTTTTATTCGCCCAAGCCTGAAAGACAAAGATGAATTTTAATACATTGCCAGTGGTCTATTAGCTATTGCTATTGTCTTTGTGACGTCATCAATTCGAAATAACAACCGTCAATCTCAGCTTCGGCTTCATTACAGAAACGCGCCCATTGAAAAACGTCGCCCGTGAAAAGTGGGGTACCCATTAGGCTTTGCGAGCAAAAACGAAGTTTCAAAGACTACCGTCGTTTTCGGTCTCTTATGAACTTCATAGCGGTTAACTATTCTCACACTTTCAAGAGACAATGCAGAAACAATAGAAGTAGGTTGCCATTGTTTTAAGTTTTGGAATGTCTTTGTCTGTGCTTCAAGTTTATGCAAAGAGAAGCATTTTTCTTCCTCGTGCACTAACATAAAACCCTCGCGAATTCGGTAGTCTCGTGCGAATCGTTTTGATGGCAAAACAGTTAAAGCTAATCAGAAACCAAAGTATTCTTCACTTAAAAACTCATCTTCACGAAAATCACTCGATAAGATTGAAAAAAAGTGTTTGCAGCGTTTATAAATATTATTATCAGAAGCGGTATTGTAGTTGTTTTCAAGAAACGGATTAGATCGCTGTTTAGGTTTGGCCGTTAAATATGTAGTTATAGCGTTCTTAAAGAAAGTATCGCCCTTAATTTTGCCTTATACTTTGCTAAAATCAATATCTTAAATGAAGAATTTAAGCGAGAGTGCTTTTTCGTCGAATTTGCCCGTAAATTTTAAGGTTTATAATATTATCCAAAACCCGTGACCAAAATGTAAACAAACTATTAACGCATCGGTTGCGCTCATATTTCATCGATCGATTCGAACACCAAGAAGTTTGTAAAAGGTAAAAAATTCATTTTAAGTCAGTGCATTGAATTATTTACGGCAAAATCAACAACAATCATCGAGGATTTTTCAATTTTGAAGCGTTTAACAGCAAAAAGTCACATGCTAATTCGGAGTAAATTTAAACAGTTTTTAAACAGACTGAGCTATTGTTAGTCGCGTAAAGTTCTATTCTTCATCGAAGAATAGGCAAATGTTGCGGATGTCTGAGCAGGAACAATAACCAGGAAAGGGATGTACCCAGGGGATTTCTTGATTGACACTAACTTAACGTCATTTTTCACTTATTTGCATTTTCACGATCGACGTTTTTGAATGGGCGCGTTTCTGTAATGTTTCAGATTGTGGATCGCGAGTGTAAAAAGAAGCGAGCGCTCTCCCGGTTCTTCCATTGTTCTTTTTTTTCTTCTCTCTGTATATTTTTCTCCTGCCTTCCACTAGGCTAATTTTGATCAGATACAAGTCGCTTTTAAACATTGATGTTACTTAAACGGAGAATGGGGGAGAAAGAACGAGCATGGGGAGGAGGGAAATGAACAATGGAAACAAAGCAGAGAACTGGAAATGAAATTACTGATAGGGCTAAGGTTCAAAGCAGGTTTTGTTCCCATTTGTCATTTTCCCATCCCCCGTGCTCGTCCTCTGCTCCACTTTCCCCGTTTTAGTGACATCCTTTTGAACACTATATCTCAGCTCGATAGGGTGATAGGTTGAATTTCAGTGATAGGTTGAAGGTTCGCTTTCAGTGATAGCGAAACCCCAGACTCGCTTTATTGCAATAACGTTATTATTAATATAAAAATGCAAAAACAAATAAGCCAGACAGATATATTTATCAGTAGACCTGGACCGTTCTGAACCTCTTATTTCACTGGTCCCCTTTCAACTGCACTTCCATTGTTTTCATCGATAGGGGCATTGTTATGTGACAACCCCTACTGTTTTCCCAGCTAATCAAAAACAAGTTCTTTCAAATAGGTGCGGGATCGCCCATTTTTATTAGCAAAGCATATTGCCTTTGAATGTTTGCATAATAGCCCACGTTGGATATATTAAAATTCTAACATGACTCCGAGGCTTTAGGGTCGAAATTGCAAATTTTTCACGACTCCATTGTCTCGCAATTCCCAGATATACTGATATACCTTAGAAAAATTGGCTTCCAAACCTAGAAATTTTACATAGAATGTATAAGTCACTGAGTGATTCTGCAATTGTTTTTTGGCTGACATTTCCTTTAATGCTTCTTGCTTGCAAGCGCGCAGAGACTTAAAATTGGCGTAGATTGATCAAGTTAACTTCGAAAATAATATACCCCCGCGTTGGGAGATTTGCACACTGATAGCCCACCTTCGATATAATTATCAAAATTCTAACATGACTTCGAGGTTAGGCTCAGAAATGCAAATTTTGCACAACTCCATTGTCTCACAATTCCCAGAAGAGACCTGAGCACAGAGAAAACCAAACCAAAGAAAAATGTCAGAAAGCCTCGGATTCATGTTAGAATTTTAATATCAATAACGAACGGGGCTATTAACGAAGAGATTACGTCCATCAGAGAAATTCACAGTCTCTTAAGAAAAATATATTCATCCTAAATCGGATTTTGAAGCTAACATAGCTGTTGCTTACAAAGCTTATTTCCAATCCAGGAAGAAAATACACAGAAAGCTAATGTTCAAGGATTTTCTGAGCTTTCATTTACCCAAGCATAGCAATTGTTAATTGACGGTATGACAGCTTCAATGATTATACGTCGAGCTCACATGTGCCAAATCTAATGGAGATGAACAGAACCAATAGATTTTGCTCCTGTTGTTTTAAAAGTTCGACGTCTGTGAAACAGGCATAAAGTCTCTTCGACCAATCACTATCGTGTAATTATACTCTCTTGACTGCCGAATTATCTTCCTGTTATTAAACAAAATCCATGATTCTGCCCCCTATGTTATAACGACGGTACTTTCACGATATGCGCAAATGAAGATAAAATAAGCAATCAAAAAGCTATCATCTTGTATCTCAGGTATTTTTATATCTTTCCATGTTCGTCGTAGTTTAGTAGATTCATGTGTAGTTCAGTTTTATTTTCAGCGTTCATAAAAAGAACACACGACAGGTCACATCGAATATCACCTGCTCAACTGCGTTCTCAGCGGCTGTGTTTTGTGTTATATTTTGATAGAACTAAAATTTAACTTGTTGTCTCAGTGGTTTTAAATCACATAGACATTTAGTTCTAGACACTCAACAGCTGCGTACTAATAAACTTCTTTCTAACAGTGGATATGTTAACGCCTGAAGGTCCTACTAAAAAAATTATTACGATTATGATCCTCAAATTCTGTGTCAGGCGCGACATCCAGTACGCAAAAGAAAAATACAGCCATAAATACACAAAATAACAAAATATAGTGGACGATTAAGAGATGCACTTCAGTAAGTGGTGTCAAACGAGGGCTGATAAAACACAAGAAAACCTTAAAACATTTTGCACAATTTGCATCACACTCCTTTTTTGTACATTTCTTTGCCGCCAGGTGTTACTGCACGACTTCAACTTCAGGAGAATTCGCCTAAATTTGAAAAGTAAATGAGTTGGTATGATTGCGATAAAGACCCAGAAATTAATATGAGGTGACTTTTTAAGCGTCGTTTTCCCCGCTATCGCAGTCGTGGTATCTTTAACTCCCTACTTGCATATTTGACACCTGGCTCCCACCGCTCCCATAGTCATTGCTTAAAGTCGCTGATAGATTTAAAGAGACACAAAGGTATTTTTGTGCCCAGCACCTCTTTCCTCCGCAGAAGCTCTGCTGGGTATTCCTATAAAAATAACAATGATCGAAAAAGTAGGAAGAGCGCGGGGGACGACGACGACGTGCCCCACACGCTCTCTTTTTCTTTCTCCACAGCCTCCCCACAACACAAAGAGGCCTCAGTGGAAGAGAAAGGCTCAGCACAGAAAACGTGCGGTAAACTCAAACCAGATAGCCCTGGATACGTTTTAGTAAAAGCAGAGTAAATTCTTATGTTATCTTTGCCGTTTAAAATCTATCTGGCTGTTTTTCTGGCTTGGGTTGAATTACATTATTTAAGGTTCGCAAACAAAATTACGCCATGACAGATACAATAACTTAATTTATTGTTGATGTTGTTGTTGTTATTATTATTTCCATCCAGATTAAGTGAAGAGGACTTGGATATCCTTCAAGATGTCCGATTCACCTCATGTTGCCATAACAATAGCAAACTCGATATTTATTATCACCTGCACTGTGGGAAACTGTCTCGTATGCGCCGTAGTGCTGAGAAATCGAGACATGAGGTACAGAAACCAATTCAAATTAGTCTATATTCATATAGCTATTTTTGGCTGCGTTCAACGTTCGATGGATTACAGTAAAAGCCTGCAACCAAAAACGTAGTTTTTAAGAACCTGTTAGGCTAAAATTTGCCAGTTAGGCCCCCTCTATACAAGAACCTGTTTTCTCTAAAATTTGAAACAGAGGTTCCACTAAAAGCTCAACGCATTTTTTTCTTCAGAAAATAAGAAAAACCTAACTAGCCATTTAGGCAAACTTGAGAATATGCACAGTGGTGCTGCAGGTTCTTAGTTACGGATTTAACTGTAGTAAATCGCTGTGTAAAGTGCGTTCAAGAAACATTTCAGGGGAGAGTTAGATTTCTAAGCAAAGGTCGCTGTATAAAGTGTTTTTTTTTTTTTGCTGTAGTGGGGGTTGTGCGCTTGCCTTTGATTAAGCTCGAAATAACTATTTATTCGCCACATTTCGATGAAAAACTAAAATGGAACACGCTCCAACTAAAACTCTCCATGTTCAGCACATTTTTTTTGTACATTTCTGTACCACGCTTTATGGAGGACGTTAACAAAACTTGGAAAAAATGCCAGTGAATATAAGGACGCTCTTGTAAACACAAAAAAGGGGGGGAAATTGGTTATTTTTGAGGCCCAATTTAAAAGCCTTCTCTGTTTTCAATGTTCTTAAGACTTGCAAGGTATATTTATAGACGATTGATCTCGGGATTGCAAAATTTATAAAAAAATTTATCCGGCGGTTTTTTGAAAAATGCGAAATTTGTAGGCATGGACCAAATTATGTGAAAAACTGTAACGAAAGCAGCTAAATGCAAGTTAATAAAATTCTTCTTACTCGAGATCGCCCGGAGCAATTACCCTCTTTTTGAAGCCGCGTTTCCAAAGCTTATCATTTTCTTAAAAAATTAGCTAATTGTGTGGATAGCATGCTATTTCACCGTTCTTATGATACTTAAAACTTCGTTTCAAAATATCTCGAAAACGCTCTCATAGAATTTGTTCAAACTTTGCCATAATTGAGGCAATTATGGCAGGTACAAACTCCCTGAAGCGATTTCTTAAAAAAACTCTTGGTACAGAGAAACACAAAGATAAATAAAAAAACGTAATGGCGTTGTTACGTTGCCATGGCGACTCCGATTGCAATAAAACCCAGATCATAACAAATTTTCATCTTTATATAATACAGTAGTGGTAATCTTTTTTCCATATCTTTACTCATGGCGACGTAGTTAATGCTCAAACTTGGGAGGTATCCCCCCCAAAAAATCCAGTCGAGCCACCTTAAGTGAGGTTTTCGCCGCCTTGGCTGTCGGATATTAGGGAGTTTACGCAATGACGACGGCGTCGGCTACGAAAACGTCACTTAAAAAGTGAATGTGCGCTGCCTCAAACTTAATTGCGCTTATTCCATCTATAGTTTAATTCGTCAAATGTTGGCAAATTATTTTGGAGTTGAATTCTAAAAGACTGCGTCAAAGTTCAGGAAAAGAAAAAGAAAGTTGTTGTCTTTTGTTCCGGTCCTCGACAAAACGTGAAATTAGGCAGCTTCACGTTGTAGTCTTGCAACGACAGCAGGAAAATGTACAAAAAAGCGTGATGAACTTGCAAAGTTGTTGTTATGCTTGTCTAAACCTGTTGCTTTTTTGCCGTTCTCGTTGCTGTCGCCGTCGTTGTTGCGTAAACTCCCTATTAGGGGGGTTTATACGAGAGAAAAATCCCGGCTTACTCTGGCCGCAGCTTACATAAGACGCGAAAGAAACCATTTACATGTATACGAGTACGGCTTACGTAAGATGGAAACTGCTCTTGTAAATGGTTCACGTCTTGGTTCACGGCAAGACGGTCCATTGATGACGTAGTTTGTTTTTGTGGCTCGGGTAATTTTTAACAATGGCTCGAGCGACGAAAATGCGAAAGGATTGGCTTCGGTCAGGAAAATCGCCAAATTTTACACTGTTCTTTTCGTTTCAACTTAATTTTTTAAGTTTAGTTTAGCAAAACAACAACTCTGCACGTGCATCACTGCACGATTGACGACGTGAAAATGCCTAATTTCACGTTTTATAGAGGACGTAAATACAAGAAAACGACTTTCTTTTTCTTTTCTCGAACTGCGATACGGTCTTTAGGATTCAACTCCAGAAAAAAGTGCCAACATTCGACGAATTGAACAAGATGGATATAATCGCTACAAAGTTTTCAGCAGCACGACTTCACTTTTTAAGTGATGTTCTTGTAACCGTCGCCGTCGTTGTTGCTTATAAGCTTTCACGAGACTTTTCTGATCTTTTCCGGAGCTAAGTCAAGCGCGAAATTTCTCAAGGTCCAAAGTGCACTTCTCAGAACTGGAAGTCTGCTGTGATTGGTCTTCGTTTTTTTTCCGCTCAAATCAGCAGACGTTAGTGGGGCAGGAACGCGTGACGAACCCCTAAGAACGTCTGCGTGGAAGGCTACTGCAACGCGCGTCTCTCGGACATGAAGATCTGGGATATAATAGCGCTGCGCACAGATGACGTCACGAAAACGTGACCCCCACCGAGATACCCCCATAAGATACCCCCATCTCTGCTAGAGGTCGCAAAAACGCTTTATGGAAGCGCACAGTTTGCGATCAGTTCTGCTCGCCGTTTAAGCGTTTTTAGGAGCGTTCCAGTTTCGAAATTTGAGGAACGTCCAGGGAAATGTAATGTAGAACAAATCAAAACATTGACCGCGATTCGAGATTCGAATATGCTCAAGCTCGGGGAATTCGTCCACTACAAGACCAAACCTGTTTTAGAATTGCTTGGCGTTTGCGAACAAACATCAAATGTTTCAGGGAGGTTTCGATGATAATTTTTCTGGATATCCTGAAAACTGACTCAGTGCGTCACGCCGGTGAGGTGTTGAAAACAATGAGAATTCACAAAAAATGCCCAAGGTCGACGATTGAGTCTACCCAAGAGACTATAAAGGGGACAGAGAGGGCATCCCCCATATACACCCTATTCCATAGGTAATTCGTCTCGAGTTATTTTTAACACAACAGATCTCAAGGGGGATTAGACAACAGCCAATCACATAGCGCAAATGTGTTCCGCGTGGATGACCCACGCTGAGAGCCACGCGTCCTTCACGAAATGACACAGAACAAAATGGGGGAAGACGCGGAGAGCGATTTTGCTATTCCTTTTGTCGACGAAAACGACTACAGCGAGATTTCTGCGAAAGCTGTGCCAGCGAAACCGAAATTAAAAAAGAATCGCCCTTCCTCTCTTGTAGAGAGCTAACAGTAGAGCAGGGAAATCCTTAACACACTGAACATTCTCTCAGGATCATTTATAATTTACAGTTTGAAGAGAGCAATTTCTGGTTTGATGTTTATTTTTTTCAGTCTTTATAGCGATTATTCCTACCCACTTACTTTGCCAATTGTAGGCGAACCCTCCTAAAGCTGAATTTCAAGGCACCATATTCAAGCTCAGAAAGAGAAATAAAATTTCGTCGTTGCTTATTTACGTCCTCCATAAAGCGCGAAATTAGGCATTTTCACGTCGTAGTCGTGCAAAAACGGGAAAGAAATGAACAAAAAGTGTGTTGCACGTGCGAAGTTGTTGTTTTGCAAATTAAACCTATTGTTTTTTTGACGTTCTAGTTGTCGTCCGCGTCGTTGGATCTTAAACTCCCTAAATTTTACAAACGACCGGTTTCAATAGACCGGCGAAATTTCTCATTTTATTAAAGCGGTGAGGTTACGACAACTTCGGGTCCAGCGATTCCTTTTTCCCAGGTGAGCGCCGACTCATTTCGCTTCAATATTCAGGAATGCTCTCGATCTTTTTACGCTTTCATTGCCTCTCGCCCGACATGTTTTGCACGGCGTTTGGTCATGCGAAACCTCCTCGAAACATCCACGCCTCGCGCGAGGTAAATTTATCCCTATTCTAAAAATAACTCGAGACGAATTACCTATGGAATAGGGTGTATATGGGGGATGCCCTCTCTGGCCCCCTTATAGTCTCTTGGTCTACCTCAAACCATGGGCAATGTTTGAAATCGCTTGAGATTTCTAAAGAAGCATTTTATGTTTTTAGAAGAATTAAATCGGAGAATTCGTGAAAATGGAATAAATTTAACCTGTCATGTATCTACCTCTTTCAAAACATTTCCCGTCTGCCTGATCACTGCCACAAAACCTAGCGTACTTCGTTTTCTTTCCGTATTTCTCTCATTTATTTAGTGACTCAGACCACTTTTTCAGGGATCCTTGAGTCCCTCTCACATTCTTCCCAGTTGCAACGCTTGTTGCTTACTATATCCCGATACAAAAACGCGAAAAAAACAATGTTTTGACTCAACAAAAGGTAAACGCGCATACAAAGCCTTTGAGTGAGAAGCAAAGTTTGCCTGAGTCATGAGGGGGGTCTTTTCAGACATGGACTATTTTTAGAATCTGTGCGCAGCGCTATTGAAAACAGCGCAGCAATCGTTCACGGCTTCAGCAAGCCGCGGACAACGTTTGAGTGCATCTATACAAACACTTTCACCTCCAAGGTAAGCCGCAGCTAGGATAAGCCCAGCCCAAAACTCCTCGGCCAGGATAAGCCGCGGCAAGACCTAGACGTGGGTTGAATAAGCGGGTGTTTACACGAGAAAACTCGCACCGGCGCGAGTTTCATACCAAGATGACTTTTTAATTTCGTATCGCGTTTACATGATGACTGCGTCATTTCCGTATCTCGCTATTTGAAGGTACACTTCATGTTGATAAAATACACGTGTGATTCAAAATCGCAAACATTTCGCGTGCGCTAACCGTTCCAGTCTATCGGCACACCGAAACGTGTGGTCGTTTCGCGTATACATCAGGGGCACCCAACGGCAATTTTCTGGAAAATATCTGTTCGGAAGACGATTTGAGAACTAGAATTTTCGGAACATTTGTTGTAAAATTTCTTGCTTGCCTGCCTCTCCTAGGATTTTCGAACATCTACAAAATGGTATAATTACCCAGTTTAAACAGATATTTACCCTAAAAAAGTAAGGCCACCTAGAATTTTCGGGAGCCTTTTCCTGGTTGAAATTTTCGAAAAGGTAAGTTTTGATCCCTATAACTTTCGGATCACTAGACTTTCAGCTAGGAAATCCGAACAGATGAAAAGTTTTTAGGGGATAAAAATATGCCTATATCTAACGTTTAAATACTAAAATACGTTCAACAATGCTATGTTAAGTGCTTTTGAACTATATCCTCGTTGGGTGCCCCTGATACATGATACCGTTGCGAGATTTCGTACCGGAGAGAGATTCTCGCCCCGGTACAACAACCGAGGTGAAATCACGCTGGGGTGACTCGCGCCGGCATGACATTTTGTGGTGGTATCATGTAACTAAATGTAGAGCCATGAGAAGGAACGGGAGTGAACTCGATCCGGCGCGAAAGTCGCCCCGGTGTCATGTAAACACCCCATAAGCCGTGAACGTAAATTTTGTACCATTTATTACTGGGTGTTGGCGTCTTATGTTGCCCGCGGCCAGAGAAAGCTGCAGCTTATTTTAACGCATATAAACGTCCTTATTGTGAACTGTACCTTATCCTGCAGGATTCCTTTCAACTATCTACTTGTAAACCTAGCAGCAGCGGATATCTCTTACGTGACATTTGCGGTACCCAATATAATTTTAATCCACCATTTTTACCATCCTGAGGGCCTTGCTGGCACATTATTATGTACAACGCTGACAGGAACGAACTTAGCATGGGTTGGTGGCCGTGCCTCCATGATCACTCTGCTTGTCATCGCCATTGAAAGGTACTTTGCAGTGGTTCACCCCCATGGAAACAAAGGAAAACTTACAAATCGCAAACTCAAGGTTTGTGATATTCAAATATATCATTATGATTGTCATAATTCTGCACTGTTCTGAACCTTTTCGCAGCGATAAATGATCTTGAAGCATGGTTTGAACTATGTTTTAGCCTTGTGGTATACTTGATGTACTCCGCAAGTCAGGGTATACGAGGAACTTTTAGTTACAATAAGGAGCCATTCATATAGTAAATCAAAAACTACCAGCAATAAATGCTATTCCAAGATTAAGTAGATACGTCCGAACCCGTTCTAGTCCGGGAAAAGATCACCGGTGGGGTTGATTCTCATCAGCGCCCACCACCCGTAGCGACCACTATTAAAATCACTGGAGCATTTTGTGTTCTCTATTGCGGGAGGTTCGAATGGAGGCTCACACTCGGAAAACAAGTGTGACGAGGGAAAACATGATTGACTAGTCGGGAAGTTCAGGCTTAAACAACTTCAAAGGCCTGCGCGATTTGGACAGAGTCCCCTTTTCTCCACAAGAAAACAAGGAAGGCTCTGCTTGCAGGTTGAGAAAAGGAGTCGATCCATAGGCAACACCCTGGGGTTCTTACAACTTTTTATTCGAGTAGGCTCCGCCCCGAGCTCCGATTAATTACTTAGCTCCTCTAATATCCTTCAAACTGAAGAAAAGATTATTCCTTCCGTTTAAATTCCATTGAAAAATAGCACTCCTTTCGCATACAGTAAACAAGAACCGATGGCATCACTTTTCTAAAGTCCATGAGCAATATCTCACAGGAGAAAGCGAACCCAAGCATCACCTTCTTAGCTCCAGTTGCATGTCACTAGAATTAAAGTATTAATTAAGAGATCAGACCTGAAAAAAAAAAATACAAAAAAGTGGTTATAACCGGGCTACGTAACATGTCCGCAAGTGGCGACCAGAGACCTGTTCCATTAATTTTACGAAGAAATATTACACAACACATGCACTGACACGGCTTCATTCGCCCTGGTAAGACATCGCGATCTACTTAACAATTATTCCACGAGTGCGCGTTGGATATAAAATGATAGATAGCCGAAGAGGCGCGTAGCGCCGAGTTGGCTATAATCATCTCATATCCAACAAGCGCGAGTGGAATCATTGTTTTATTAAAAACGCGCACAAAATATCGAGAATTCTTCCCGTCTTTATTTGTGAAAACAACCGATTTTCAGATTGTTTTTAATTTTTAGCAGACGTGTACAGTTACCATATTTCGAGAGCATGGTATAATGGCTCATATACCATGATGGCTAAGCCAATCAGAGCTCTAGAATTGCATCATCCAATGATTCAGTTTTTAATAAAAGTGACTACCTACACCATGAAACAAAACCTTGCTACAAAATTATCACACTGTAACGGCTAATCAGACCTAACCATTGTACAAACTTGTTTTTATTATTCCCGGTATTTGGATCATCGCTTTTATTTATAGACTCCCATCTGCGAAGAAAACTTATGTTGCCACTTCCCACCGCTGTGTTTCCTCATTGCCTACAGAGACTAAAGAGTCCATTGATATTGCTTTTCGTGTCCTAAAGTTCATTCTCATAGCACTGTTGGTTGTGCTATACGCCCGAGTTGTGTATGCCTTGTGGTTCAAGCGAAGTGTTAATGCAGTCACACATCACCAACAGGTACTAAGCTTTCTAGACTTTCTATAGCCTGCTAAACGCTCTCAACGGAGAGGACCCCGAGAAGTGTGACGTTACGTTATATGGTAGCAAACTTTCTGGATCACAACAATAGGGAGCTTAAGCAACGACGACGGCGCAGTGAGAACGGCAAAAAAAACAATAGCTTTATATTAGCAGAACCGAACAACTTTGCACGTGCATCACGCTTTTTTTACACATTTCTTAACAGTCGTTGCACGACTGAATGAAACGAATGAAAGACTAAATTTGTACTGTTCAGGTGTTTAAACTAGTCCGCGTAAAATTGGAACCGTACCACTCAAAAATTTTGACCTATTTCTGATACGGTAAAAAATTTGCACGGTTGCGCGGGTAAACAAAAGGGTAAAGAAAAGGCGGATCCGTGAAAGTTCTCGTCCGCTCAAAAATTTGTCCGGACCCGTGTAAACGGGGTCTTACCTTTATCGGTTACACCCAGAAGTTAATGGTCTGTAACCAGAAAAGATTAAACAACATACACGTTTTTTAAATATTTATCTGGATATATTTTCAAAATTATCTGATATGAGCAATATTGCAATATTCGCTCTTGGTAATATTTCTAATTTAAAGTAGCTCTGTCCAGCAGAGTTGACGGATTTTCCCCAACTTTTCCATGTCCAAAGTTGGAAAAAAACCGTGGAAAGGTCTATTGTTTCCTTTGCCTTGTCAGTCCAACCTTACTTGCGGTTAGGTTTTAAGGGAAGCTTCACCGCATGCGCATGCGCGTCGATAACACTTTAAATGCACACCAAAGATTACTCTAGTCTTCTTAACTTACACACCTTTGTTTCCGGAAAAGTGAAGGGGAAAAGTAAACGGAAAAACATCAGTGATATGCTGGTTAAAACTTCTATTGAAGTCCTTTGTAGCGGAGCTCCCGAGCGCGCAGCGGAGCACCATGGGTAAGAAAATTTGGTAAACCATCCATCCCAGAAAATTTGGTTATGACGTAGCGTACGCCCGTCCGTACACACACTTCATGTAAGCCGATGTCAAATGTCACAATAGATCTTGCACAACTTGACTAGCCTCTTAGTTATGTAAGCCATCCGTATGAGTACGATTAGATTGACAGCTGTCAAAATCAGACATCCGCTGACAATTATCACATGACCGTCTCGCGGGCTCAGATAAAAGACCAGTCGTTTTGCCCCTATATATAAGCTGATATAATATGTCACACTTACCAATTCAACATAAAAACGAAACTACGCCGAGCAAGGCTGTCAGTTGGCTGACAGTCGTTTAAAGTTACATTGGCAGGCCAAATTAAGGTCAATTGACAGCTGTCAAAATGGGACATGTGCAGACCGCTATCAGAAAACTAATAACGAGGGCTCAGGTTCGCTCAGGTACACGATCTGGCATTTTCCACTACATGGCGGACAGAAATGTCCTACTCACACTCGTAGTCTGTTAATTCGAATATTCGCCATTCTAATGAAGTTTAATTGACAGCTGTCAAACTAGAGTATACGCTGACCATCATCACCTGAGTGGATCGCGGGCTCATTTTTCTATCTATTGAGGTCACGTAGTGTTTAAAGTTTTGCGCTGATATTTTATTTGATCACGGGCTCAATTCGAAGCCCCATAGCTTTATAGAAAATCTATCCATCCTAGAAAATTCGGCAATCACGTGACCGTACACCGACCACCCGACCCTCCGTCCGTCCGCACCACAGGCATACCAATGTTTAATCTCACACTTTCTAGCTAGTTTGGGAGCCTGCAACCTGATATTGTACATCCATGTTTTGATTAATTGACAGCTGTCAAAACAGTGTTTCTGCTGACCAGTATCGCCTGACCGTATCGCGGGCTCAGGTATCGACCCTCTGAGTTCGAGTAATATTTTGAAGGTATTCGCTGACAAGTTGCTACTTTTCAAATGATCGCAGGCTCAAGTTCAATTTTTTTAAAATGTATATGAAATAAGTCGTGTTTCATGAGCCGCATTTTTAAAATGTTGATTTCGAACTGATCTCGGACACGAAAATTCAACCGGCTTTTACATTTACATGCAGGGAAGGCAATCGCTTTTGACTTTTCTCACTGTCACGCACTGATCACGCTCTACGTCCAATTTTAATGTTCTGATTGGTCAAAATTTGACAGGTGAGTTTATGCGGAAAATTTTTGCAGCGTCTGGAAACTTGCTTACTGATAGCTGGAGCTGAGAGAGTTTTGTGTCATCTTGTGATGTTTTAAACTGTCTTTTTCTACTTGGTGTACAAAATGAAATACAGCTGCTATCAAGATTGTTCTGTAATTCGTGGCTGGTTTGTTTATTGCGCTTTTTGTTGACAAATGCACCGCTTGTCAAAGTCATTGGAAATCCGATTTCGGATGGCATCGTTTTCAAAAATGAGCTTACTCACTTGCCTTTGCTTGAGGCGTAAGAAGGTTGAAAAGTCTCAAGCGATTCTGGAACACTTGATGACCTTCAGAAGCAGCATCTCGACTGGTAAGCTTGAGCCATTATTGTTTTTGATGTTTTTTTTTTCGGTTTCCTGAAGTCGAGCGTATGGTTTATGCGGCTTAAGTTAAAACACGAGCAATGATCTAACTACAATAGTATCAGGTTTAAAAAGCCTTTAGACATTTTTTGACCCGCAAATTCAAAGAAAAGGTTCCGAAGATTATTTAGTTATCATTTTGGCTGTAAACAGAAAGCTCTGAGCGATTTTCTTGCCTCGAGTTCATCTTGAAAAAGAGCGAACACCGGGAAGCCGGCTTAAAACATAAATAAGCTTAAGCTTGCCTGACTCATGATTTTCTGAGACACTTTGCTCTCAATACTTCTCTTTGTGAATGAAAATTATTGCCTCTGTAGATGTTTCACCGAATTAAACTTATTTTATTGATTTTTAGTAGTCCCTCTCGCAATTTTCATCGCTGCACTGGTTGTTTCCAGTCGAACATAAACATCGCATGTAGGAATACTCAAAACGCCGCGCGTAAATATCACTCGCTTTTAAAGATTACACAACAAAATCATACACAGTTTAATGAATAAAGGGAAATAAAACCTAAACATAACAATTTCTCTATCATGTTGAAGCATAAATGGTAACTCTATTAATCGCACTGCAAATTTGGTGCCAGTTAAAAGTGAGAACCCCTTCCGGCTGGCCGAAAAGTGATTTTGGGAATTTTTTTTTATCGTTTTCATTAAAAGCCCATAATTATTACCCCGCATATCACATAGGACCAGATTTTTCTAACAGAAAACGTTTTATAATTCAAAGCTATAATTTGTTGTGCAAAGGAAGCGCGTGCTTTGATCGTCGTGGATATTGAATGAGTGCAAATTCTCTTGCAAAATTGTGAAAAACTGCAGAATTATAAGTTTAAATAGGGCAAAAAAGAACAAATTCTGTCTGAGGTCTGTGTACTGTTTACCTGAGACGTGATGAGAAAAAGTATGTTTAAAAGGCTGGTTTACACGCCACCAGATTCGTCGCCAAGATTTACTAGTAAACTAAACTTGTCACACAAAAAATCCGGCCTGATTTTTATTTTGGCCTTTCTTTTAGACAGAGGAATGCAACTTGTAAATTGGCTGCCACCAAGGACTATCGTGGCGCATGTGTTTCTTAAAATTATATTTCGCGGTTGTCCAATTATCCATAGTCTCTCTAACGGAGCAATGTTGGACAGACTGGTGAATGCCACATTATGATGCTACAGCTAATGCAAATACAATACACGAATAGGTCTATTTGTTTTCCAGGCCTAATCTACTGTGATCGAACATCATTGCTATTTTTCGGTGTAAAAATAACTTGATGTAAAATTTGTTTCACTCTTGGACGGTCGAATTCTGATTTTTCTCTAAAATCACTTAGCCTTTGCCTCAAAAGTCAAATGAATGTGCCCTGATCTGTGGATTACAAGTTTATTGTTTGATTTAAATTATGAATTTATTAACGGGAGCTTCGCTTTTAGCCCTGGCTAAATCTATATATTATATCGGAGGACATACTTTACCACAGTAATAGTGAAATATATGGTAAAGAACCTCCATAAATAAACGAACATGTCGAGGCCTCGTAATGTAGCGAACATGTTTTGCCCAAAACTTTTGAAAACATTCAGTTTTGTTTAATTTTGCCAGTCCCCTTGTCCATAGATGTAGCGAGCTTCGACTGTCTAATATTGCAGAAAAATTTCATTCAACTAATGGTAAATGTCAAGAGAACAATTAAGCAACACTCCGCACGGAAAAGACGACTGAAGCAGTATGTGTGTCCTTCTAATGACTTTGTTTTGCCTCAAGCTTCGAGGTTTCACACTGCACCGAATGAATTTTCTACCGGCGGCAAAATTTGACCATGCACTTCGTTCACACGGGCAGTTCAATATTTTCGCTCTGTTCACAGGAACGTTGAACGACTGGGCATCTCAATTTCCGTACGTTTAAGGTGGTTCCGTGTGAACGGAGCCCCCAAACGCATAGCCTGTGCCGGGCTCTCAAAAGCTATATAGTGGGGACGTAAATAAAACGAGGAAAGTGAAAAAAAGACACGCGCAATCTGGGAAAGATGTCGGCTGCGGCGGGAAAAAATGGGAGAGAGTCTCCTCGATCCCCGCGCGTTTTCGCATCAACTTTTTACTGAACGACTGCACCACTATGTTGGAGCCTGGAAAAGGCTACCAAGCTCACGAACTTTCAACTGGTCGAAAATTCGTCCTGTGCAATGTGAACGTAGCCTTAGCAAAGCACGGCGAACTATTTTTCATGTGATCAGAG